CCTCCCGCTTCCCGTTGAACCCCGTTCCCCCTTGTCCTGTCACTACAGGCCCTTGGAAAAAGTCCCCTCCAGCTTTCTTGTACTGGAAGGCTGCAATAACATCTCTTATACTCCATTTTCAACTTAAAAAAATGTACAAAGACATATTTACATTTGTTTTTGAGCACCAGCAGTATCAGACAGAATGCTTAAATAGAGAAGCAAAAGAAAAATTGCAATTACTCTTTTCCTTATGCTCGTTTCTGAGAGCCACTGGGCACTTTCAGTATTAAAGAACAGAAAAGAAGTGGCTTAAACAGGTGCTGGTTTACGCTGTTAATTTAGTCTCTCCCAAAAGAAAGACAGGTTGTTTCACAACTTCCCTCGTGCAATCAGCAGTCTCAGGCTTCGTCAGTCAGAAATATTGATTTAGTCAGATCTGACCACTGAATGAGCCCAACAGCAGCACAAGAGCCACGGTTAACCAGCATATTCGGGAAGTTCAGGGGTGCTTACTCAAGCGACAGTCAGTCACGCGTCAGTCACACTAATTAGGGTTTTACCTGGTATCATATACATCCGAATACAGGTCAAACTTGTAGGTGGGTTTAAACTGCAGGGGACCCTCTACGAATTCCTGAAGAAATGCTTCCTTCTTTTTTGCCATGTTCAACTGCAGAAATAAAAAGTAACTTCTAAAGATTATGTTTAAAAATCAGAGCGTAAAGGGTAATTGGGAAAGGAGCTGAGAAAGCACCATCCAAGGAGAATCCAACATTTCAGTCCGTACCACGTATTTGGAAAGGTAAATTCAGGAGTGCCTCTGTTCCTACCAGAACTCGAGGCGAACTGTTTAAAAGGTCTGTAGTTCCACTCTGAAAAAATTCCATAATAAGCTTCTCTTAAAAGTAATTCTTGAGAGAAGAAAAAGGAGGAGAAACTGAGGTGAGGAACAACTCACAAGCCATGGAGTTCAACGCAAGATCAGTCAAACACGAGCACCGCGAACGAGCAGGAAAACCAGATGCCTGCAAGTAACTGGGGCTTCTGAGAGGCGAGAGAGCGAACAGCGAGATCTGTTCCACCTCAGGACTACTCTGGATTTGTGGCTTTTAGCAGCAATTGGAAACTTGGGAGGTGACGTCAGCGCTGTGCGTGTATGCGTTCAACCAACCAACCCCCCAGCAGATCAAGAGAACACACCTGGTCCTTTTCCCACAGCAGGTTGTAACGCTTGTTATTTATGGACTCTCGGACAAAATGAATGCCGTAATCTGCTATCCGGAAGTTCAGATCGCCAAACCAGAAGAGAACACTAGAAGAGAAGAGCAGAAAGCCACGCAAAATGTACAGGAACCCATTACCAGGAGGTAAGAATTCGATGGAACATCAACCATTATGCTAATTAGGTGTGTTAATCACTTAGAGCACTTCATCCAAACAGTTTAAGCCCAAACATGAAGTAGTTACAGAGAGGCATACCCAGGGGTAACCTCCTGCTAAACAGGACACGTTAGGGAACTGAAACAGTAAATTAAGTCCTTGTGTTCTTGGCGCTTGCTAATCACTGCCTGGCATGAACTCACCCTGAGCCTCCTAACAACTTCCATCTCCATCGGGGACAAATTTAGAATCACATTCTAACACCAGGTAAAACAATTGCCCAAACTGATGACGTGTACGCAGTTGGGTACGTCAGTCCGCTAACGCAGAGCTCCGGCTCAGTGCCTCGGGGAAGCAGGGCTACAGACACGGGGTCTGTCCTTACTAGGGAAGGAAGCTGTCCCTGAAGCGCTGGAGCGTAGTATCGGCCACGTCGAGACACCAGCAGGGCTGCCCTTCCAGGTCAAGCAGCTGTGCCCTGAAAACCCCTGCTTGCAGCCCTTTGCTCAGGGATGCGTATCCCGAGCTTGGTCTTACGGAAACAGGACATTTATCGTGATGCGTCTTCTCTGACAATGACAGTAGGTGATTTGCTATGTGGCTGCGCACACAGTCCCGAAAATGGACCAGGTGAAATGGGAATATCAAGCACTTAAGCTAAGGTAGGAAAAGCAATGATTCTGAAACTCATGTGTCACACATTTTTACCTAATTTTAATTAACTCATTAACAATTAAAGTGATATTACATATCTAGTCTGGGTTTTTCTGTCCTGGCAGTTTTATGGGTATAAAAAAATAAATGAAAATACCAAACTAAAAATGTTTTTCTCAACCCTTTTTGAAGTGCTTCTATCACCATCTCTGGACTCCCTCATGAAAACCACAGAGCACACAGACAATTCCTGCAGAATTAAGGAACAAGTTCTCAATTAGTGACCTCAAGCACGTTCGTTTGGGGTTGGTTTTTGGGTTTTTTTTGTGTGAGACACCCGAGGCAGTGTAATTCACACAGCTACAGAAATCCTCACTTGAGGTTTCAAAGGCTGAGCAGTCCTCAGCCAGACACTGAAGCTACCACACCAAAAGGTAACAGGCAGCTCTTCAAAAAAGGGAGGAAGATAAACATTTAATAGTGATTTTTTAATGGAAACGGGCTTCAGCTTCTAAAGCTCTCCAGCACATCGCCTGTGCAGTACATGCTAACAGATTTAACGTCAGGTAAGACTGGGAGAGAACGGTCTTGCAAGAGACCTCCATCTTCCAGGTTATAGTTTCCTCCAGGATTCAGGGTCACGCTGAAAAGACATTTAAAATAACAACGATACAGGAATCCAAAACCAGAACTCTGCAGTGCACGGGTTTACTGCGTAACAGATACAACCAACACAGAGAGAATCGGGTCTGAGCAACTCACTCGTGATCCAAGGTACTGGGAACATTCTCTCCTTCAAACTGCATTTCCAGGATTTTCTCAAAGTCATCCAGGCGCTGCTCTGTGTTCTCCATGTGCGCTGGCAAGTGGCAGTTCATGAAGCAAACTGTGTGACCGTAGAGGGACATGCGAACGGTGACTCCTCCTTTGTTCCCCTGCCATGGAAGATCAACACCATTCTCTCACTACAGCCAACACCTGCAAACATAACTATGAACACCACCTGTATCTTTTTGAAGTTATTGAGACTGGAACCAATACAATTTCTTCCTAAGTTTTTGCCTATCAGTTAATCAACTGGTAAAACTACGGGCTGATCTGCACACTGGCATACAAGGCTCAAACAGGCAAGCCTTGCGGCTCGTCAGCTGATCCATTTTTAATGGATCTCCTCCCTCCCGCCGTGAACCATGCCGAGAGACACACCACCACAAGCACAGTGCCCAAGGCAACAGAGCCTCGGCTGCTTCCTTACCCAGTATCCGTACAGGCCGGTGCGTGTGTAGTGCGTATGGACGTCCCGTATGAAAGGGAGGTGGACGTGCTTCACGAAGACCAGCAGCAGTAAACCCTGCATGCGAACGGAGGAGAGCTGCAAGAGACATGAAAGAGGGCATGGTCATTTCCAGGGAGGGATCCGGAATTCCTTGGGTCTAATCCAAAGGAGCTTTTGGGTGAAGAGGGCCACAGGGGACGGAGATGATGGCATTCCCCTGCCAAGCCCGGCTGCAATACTGTGAGAGGCAGACGCGTTTTGGTGCTGTGAGAACGTGTCCTTGCGGCAGCCTTGCTTACAAACAACCGTGATATCAACGCTAGCTGTAAGGTGACATCACAAACTTGAAGGTGGCTTCCAAACGTGTGTTTGCCCAAGCACCTTCAAGCGCCTTCCTTCTGCCTCCTCAGCCTCTTGTTTCTACCTCTAAGCATCCTGATCACGAAGAGCCAAATCCTTGGGTTTTCACTTCCAGCCGTAACAGCGTGCACCTACGGGTCCTCCAGCAGGAGCAAGTGTTTCAAACTGAAACATCCTTCAGCATACACCTAATAATTCTAAATGCCATTAGGATGCCCCAAAAGCACAGCAGTTACTCCCAGGCATTTGTAAAACCAACGAGCTGCCATCAGCAGTAACTCTGGCTGGCGACACCTGTCGAGACTGACTCTTGGAACGCTTTAAAAGCAAAGGAGCACGTTAGACACTCCTTAAGCTTTAAGATTTGTTTGTGGTTCAGTTGGGGGTTTTTTGTGTGTGGAAACAGTCTAACAAAGATGTTCACTTAAAATTTATGACCTTCACAGTGTTCCTGGCAGGAAAGACAAAGTTCATTGTGTTTGTTTTAATGATTACATTTGAAATATATTAATTGTAGTTCGATTTTATGGTGGATGAACTTGGAGAAAGTCTACATTAGAATAAAACCCGATACTGCAAATAACACGGCCTACAAAAGTGCTGGAGAAGTACACAAACTCATGCCAAAATTTAAACCAGAATTCCTTCTTTCTTTGCCTCCACATCTACACAATTAAATGATGTCAGAATCCGTGTTACATTTGCAGTGACCTTGAAGCCAATAAAACACTAAGCAGTTGAAATGATGGAGCTCAATTAGTAGGTGATGCACGAATATTTGTATCTGATCAGACAGTTGGTGCAACTGGTATCCTCCTTCCCATAACTATGTTCATGAGATCTCAAGATCTTCCAGTCCCTTTCCCCTTTGCTACAAGTCACTCTGCTGTGGGCCGGTCGCCAGACATTTCCCAAGAGCCGTACGAAATCTCCTCTCTGCATGTCCTGAGCATCCAGACCCAATGAATCCTCCCTGCAGCTAGCACTGGTCCCACCGATACGCGGTGCCACATCAAGCACAGACCTCTCCTGCAGGGGGGAGGTGATTCTGTTTGTGGTGAAAGAACTGACTCCAACCAACTTAACGCTCTGAAAAGGGTCCCTGTGACTGAAGGGACAGGGTGCCCAAGGATGGCAACCACCCCTTTGCACCCAACCCTGTCACAGGTCAGCAAAGGGATAACTGTTCCTCTTCCTCAGCCAACTTCCCAGACCAGTCCTAGCACAACCCCTCTCTGACCTGGCCTGACAGCCCCGTTCTTACTGGAGCTAACCCCATCCTGCTGACCGCTGCCGGGTGGCAGCTCCCTCCCTCCGCGTGGCCGAAGGGCCAGTTTATGATGAGAATTCAAACTCAACCATGCGTGCCGCAGGAATTCCTGTTAACTGCCTGTATGCAGGGCCTGAACATCAGCCCACAGCCAGATTTTGAACGTTTATCAGCCACGACTTACACTAGAGTGAACAATGGGGTTTTCTTCCTTCTTGTAGCTCCCTAAGGGCCCTCTGTTTTGTTGAATCACAGTTAAAAGAATGGCACAACTACTGGGCCTGATCAGCATGCAGATAATACAATCATCTCAGCAAAATCCCCCTGAAATAATGCTTGATTTAGAGAACCAATATAACGTTCAAAAGGCTTTTAATATCTTTTTATTAGAGAAATTCAGGATATCCTATGTTTATTGTCTGCCCCAGATATTACCAAAAATCTTGTCTTTTAAACTACCAAATGAGATTTCAGGTCTTTAATCAAAAATAAAAGTCAGAAAAATATATATCCCCACTAAAATCCTGGTTTACGCAGATGTAATTTATCTTCACCTGCAAACAAGTTGGGAAATAAAGAGAAACCTTACCAATCTTAAGGAAACTCAGTGCCATTGCTGGGATACTTAAGTGAGCGTAGGTGCCTAAGCAGAATACGTTAGGAGCATCACAATACAGCTCCCCAACACTGCACAGAGCAAAAACAATTCTACAAACAAGAGAGAGACATTGTGGCCCCAAGAAATATGCTGTTGAGTGTGATTTCACATTACATTTCATTTTAAATCATCTTCATCACTCTGTTCCTCGAGAATGTACTGTTAGGAGAGGAGTATTTGTCTACCGATCACGTGGTTCTGCGGCACTTACACAGGCCATCGCCTGTATATGAACCACTTCCAGCTCTTTGTCAGCTAAACTATTCCCACTGAGAAATGAAAATCTGTACGTCCACTTTTTACTGCTAAACTGAATGGCATTATTAAATAGAGAAAAATAAAAATTGCTTTTATCAGGCAACCAGGGAAACACACGTGTGATGGCGAATTACTCCTAACACATGTGTACCTACTATGGACACCTGCAACAAACACCACCAACTTCTCTTTTATGGAGAGTCTGAGGGTAAAAAGTCTGAAAGGAGCTGGGGTTGACATTTTCCTTTACTGCTGTGACATTAAAGAGATGTAAACAATTACCTTGATATATCCCAGGGGAGACAATACAGCCATGAAAAAAATGCTCCATGGATCGTCAAATGCCAAGTCAGACAGAAAATTGGTGATTCTTGAGTTCACCTCCTGTAAGCTGAATACATCACAGTTACGCCCACCATATCACCTGGTTTTGACAGAACACCTATAACCTTTTCAGAACACTGAACACAGCATCCTAAGAGACCCCTTGCAGCGCAGAGCTCTATTTCTGCTGCTCACGCTCTCACTGACAAGCAGTTTAACCCACCCACAAGTACAACGCACCAAACCCTGAGAAAAGCAAAGTTAAAGGAGTTTAACTCCTTTAACTCCTCATCCGGGTGGATGAGGTGCTGAAAGATATGGTTTAGTGGTGGACAGATACGGTTGGACTGGATGATCTCTAAGGTCTTTTCCAACTTAGTGATTCTATGATTCTATGATTTACATACGCCTGAAAACAGGGTTCAGGAGAGTGCTGGACCCAAGATACGTTATGACAAACAACATGATTGTCAGGTCTTTAAAATTTCTAAGTCTGGAAAACACAATGGCAGATTGTGCCCAATAAGCTTACTCTAATTTATTTAAAACACGCTGAATTTTGGATAACCTTCCTATCAAACTGAGTATGCCTCTATGTGCCAACAAAGGACACAGCAGCCCAAAACTCTGTGTGTTTAGAGAAAAGATACTCTACATTTTGTCATAAAACAACAGCAGAAAGAAGATTCTCTTGCTATAAATCATCGCTGTTGAAGTCTGCACCCTGTGTTAGCAGTAAGGCTAAAGCACCTCCCAAGCAGTGAGTCACACAGCGCAGCCTTCCCAGAACAGCTGCCGAGACGTCGCAGTTTTGCAAGGAACCCACAGAGCAAGTTCTCAAATACACACTTACCCTATAACGTACATGTCCATAGTGGGGCCCAGTGAATTGAGCTGAAGTAAACTAGTGACATCCGGAGGTGGAGACGCTGTGCCCACGTTCCAGGTAACCAAGTGCAGTCTACAAACAAAAATCACACAGAATCAATGATAAAATGAACGAACAAAACCAAGGATGACATGTGAACAGGTCAACCTAAGAGCATCTGATCTCCCCACAGAATTTCTACCTAGAGAAAAGATTTTTCTGTCACTTCTCATCAACCAGAAACCTATTTATTAACTAGCATTACAAAAAAAAAAAAAACCAAACACAAAAACAACCAACTACAGGGAACGAAACCTGAATTCTTGCCACTTATCCTTCAGCTTTTTCCCCCAGATAAGGAAAGCTTCATCTAGAGTGCGAGACACTTCTTCATGAATTTCGTCGTCCGAGCTGATGTCCTCCACGCAAGCCATGAGCTGGGCCACGCGCTGGCGGAGCTGGAAGCGGCCGCTGGACCCTGTGCTGCTGACACTCGCGGAACGGCTGCGGAAGTTGTGCAGGCTTTCTAAATCGTTTAGGGAGAGGGCTGCCGAGTCTTGAAACGCATCTTCGTTATTGAAGGACGCCATTTGCTCAAAAGAAAAGAATAATTACGCTCTGGAGGACTAGCCCATGAAAATCCTCAGCGTAACGGCAACCGGCGGCTACGAGTCTTCACTGGTGCAAAGTTCTGCATTGCTTGATGCTCAGTGACAGAGACGCAACGCTGGAAAAACCTGCAGCATTGCCACGCTCAAGGGGCTGTTACAAAAGCTGGGATCACATCCTACCTCACACAGCGAATTGTTTCTTCATAATAGATTTAATGTGGCTAATTCTATAAGCTCAGGATTTGAAAGAATTCATTGCTGGTTTGAATCAATCATGTGCCTCCATCCGTAGGCTAGTACAAATGTAACCTCCAGCTCCCAAACGTTCAAATGCACAGTGCTGACCAAACCCAAGCAAACCACTGCTCCTCTCCAGCACTGTCAGATTCATTTGTGTGCCACAGGACTCCTCTATCGCTTTTTATCAGATGGTAATTTCACTATCAGAGCTTCTAAAAAGGGATTCACTTTACTGTCAGTCGTGTTACATGTGAGGCAGACTCAGAAAATAATAAGCTGTTTATTTTCCATCCATCTTAGTGTTTACAGGGACCCTAACGGTTAAATAGTGAGTCCCACCAATACACCCACTATTACGGGCACATTTTTATCCCCCAATCATCCCCTTGCTCCAGGTGACACACAATGTATGCAGAAGAGCTGGAAAGTGAACTTGTATACTAATTCAAGGATCCTGATTTCTCTCACTGACAGATTCTCTTTGTAAGGCTACGCTGAAGTCAGCCAAAAGCTATTCTGAAACGAGTTTCTAGGAGGAAGGGGGAAAAAAAAAGGTACGTGTGCTGCAGATCTTATTCTGCCATCAGAGATCTGTCACTCAGGAACTCTCTCCAGCTACTAATTTTGTAAGACAATTATCTGATTAAACAAAACCAAAATAATATTGAAGTCATCAGTCTTTACTGACAGAAATTAACTTCCTCAAAGTGCCCAGCATCCACCATAAGAACACGGGAAAGACGGCAGTGCCAGAAGTTACAACAAAAGAAAACACACTTGTAAAAATGTCAAGATCATCCTTAATAATTCCGTTTCACTGCAGGTTATGATGGTGTTTGCAGGGAAAACCTCGTGAGGAATGTCCACGCAGCTGCAAAGCAAACCACCCACAGCACTGTGCAACCCCAAAGGCCTAGCGATGCTCCGACTCCGTCCAAGGCCTGTCCACAGTACGGAGGGGAGACCAGTGGTACCAGTTTTCATCTGCTGCCACAGCGACAGCCAAAGGGAGACGGACACGGCCCAAACGATTCTGGAGAACAGTCTCAAGCGTGTGTCTGCAACCCCATTCCCAGACACAAGCAAACCCCTCACGACATCACTTAATGTCAAGGATTCCTGAAATGATTCAACAGCAGAGAATTTTTTGGCATCACAGTGTTTACAATACTGCACTAAGATAACTTCTAAGATCTTCGAGCAAAGGTCAGCGTTCGGTCTGTTGGGGTTTTTTTGGTTTTCCTGTTGTAACCACCCAACTACCCTTTAAGCAGACTTCTGCAACCCAGCCCACAGCGCGCGACACCAGGGCGTACGGCCACAGGACACACGGCGCGAAGGCGCAGTGTGAAAACAACGTCAAAGCAGGAGCCAAAACCTCATTCAGGCCCCTTCCTCCTCCCGACAAGCGGGGAATCTGAGGCACCAGACACACGAACAGCAGACGCAGCAGGTCTCGCCCTCATTAGACGGTAAATAGGTCTCGGAAAGTCCCGAGCCCCACACAATGCTCAGCTGAGCCTCCCTGAAACGACTCCAGCACCGACGCTTTCAAATCAGAAAATCAGCTTTCCTACTCTACTCCGTATGACTACGTAACATCGCCAATTAGTGTAACTCCCTGGTAATAAGCAGAAACACAAGTTTCGCTAATCCTGAACTAATTATGTAACGATTTAGCTACTTTTCTCCAGGACTCGAACAAGCCACGCTCAGACCGGCGCCTC